CCCCGCCCCGCTCCGCCGCGACATGGCGGGCGGAGGCCGCCGCTTTGAGCGCGGGCTGGAGTGAAGTTAAACTTAATTAAAATAAAAAAATAAAAAAATCAACATTAAAGCCCCATCTTTCCTCTGGAAATTAAAATCTAGCGGACAGTGAGTGCAGCCCCTGCTGTTCTTTTTCTGCAGCTGTCGCCGTGGCGTGAGGCAACCGGTGCAGCCTCCTAAAGGACGGATTGCACGTATGTACATGGATATAAAGGATAATTCATGTATATATGCATATATACATATATTAAAAAAGAGGACACTGATTATGATGGTCAGGTGGTAGGTATGACATCAACGAACCTCACATGTGAAAAGGGACTCCTTCATGGAAATTTACTGCTCTGTTATTCCTGGCGCCAAGTAACAAGAACAGCGTTTATTTTATTAACTTTTTTTTTTTTTTTCCCATCCACCTTCCTCTTTTTTAATTCTTGGAAAAATCAGACGTGGCTGACTGAAATGGGAGGTTCACACACCTGCCAGGTGCACCTGTGAGTTGCGCTTTCTCCGCATTTTCCAGACCAGTCCATCTCTGAGTCTTAACCCTGAGTGTTTGAAGTACTCTTTGCTTCTAGAGTACTTCTTCATGTGTTCAAAATCTTTCCTAATTTAGTCAGTTAAATTCAACTGCAAAGTCTACTACAGTGTGCTATCATGGCAGTTTTGTTTTGCAAAGCACAGTTTGGGGCCAGCTTTGTGTTCCTTTCACAGAGGTGGAATACCACGTAATTAAAAAAGCAACATGTAACATGACTTGTGGTCTTTGGGTTACACAGGCATTTCTATGTCTATTTCTGCATTCCTACAGCACACACAACATTTGTATTAATGTATTTGTATTAATGTTTGTGGGAGCAGGACCCACACACTGAGCTCCAACAAGCACAGTAAATATTGATAACATGACTACAGAAGCCTACCTGTTCCCACTGCACATTTTTATTTACCTACAGAAAAATATCAAATAAATGTTGTGCCATGATGTTGAGCTGCTGATGTAGAATGTTTTGCAGACAGCAGGTAATTTGATTTCTTGCATCTGAAGGCTTATTTATCTCCAACCCAGTTTGGGATGAAATTGTTGTTTCTCATTATTTCAGTTGGTGTATTGTTTTGTGGCATTTCAGCTAGAAGGCTCCCTTAACATTTTATTACAGTATGAAGTATGATGTAATTACTGTAACCCATGTGGTACTATGTTATCTGTCTAGTGGGGGCCAGGGGGTTAATACAGATATTCAGAAATCCTTGTTAAAAGAAACTTTCATAGCCACAAATATCTTACTGGATGGGCTGTATCAGTCACACTTGCCCCTTTTTACTTGAAACATGAGGTGAAGTGCTGTCTTTCTCAAAATTGTGCCTAAAAGCAATCTGATTTTAAGAGCAGCTTTAAAATGTGCTTCCTTTTTTTATTGGACTTACTGTTACAGCCCATAAACATTTGGGGTCAAGAGCTCACTTCCTTAAAATATGCCAAATGGGATTACTCTTGAACTTCCAAGAAGTAAATATTAGGTGGAAACTGATGTTTATTTATTTCATATGGAGGGCATCGGGATTCTTATTGGTAACTTGTTGTTCACAAATTTAGTCTCATTTAAGTCACTGTGGGATTTTTATTGCCTGTGGATTTGTTACAGTACATGCTAAAAGATAAATGTTAATATAGTATTAATAATAAAAAAAAACTTAGATAGAGACTTAAGCTCTAAATGACTCCCTGTCCCATGGCTTTCTCTGCCCCACTATGTCCTTTCTTCTCCAAAATGAACACTAGGAATACAAACACATCTCTGTTGGACTCGGGGATGAAGCTTTGGGGAGCAGTGCCTGGCCCTGCCAGTTTCCTGCTCCACTACTCTCTTAACTGGAGAGGCTGGTTTTACAGGCCAGCAGACTGCAGCCCTCGTGCAGCAAAGCACACGCTGCAGCTTGGAAAAGTTGCCGGTGCTGCTTTGGAGCACGTTGATTGCAGCGCCTGTGTGCTTGGCAGGCAGGAAGCCTCGGGGACCAACTCATCCTTGTGCCCATCCTGTCTCCCTGCAGAGGCAGAGCCCAGCTCCTGAGCACCGGGGCAGCGGCTGGTGGCAGACTGGTGTCACGATGAGCAGCAACGGTAGCAGAGATGTTTGTGTGCCCTGAGTGAAGGCTCTGGCGCCGGACACAGTCAAGCAGAATATACGCTGGTGTGGTGGAAGTAAGGCAAAAGTCAGCTGGTAAGAAATGTGGCTTATTCATATACCTGTCTTGAAGGATGATGTGAACAATGGCAGGAGGATAGCATTGTGTTTGTAAATGTGCTTGTCAGCCTGTGTACTGAGTGTGTGTACACCAAAAGCTTTACAGTGCACAAAGAACTGCCCCAAAGAAATTAAGATCTTGCCTTCAATATTTAGAAGTATAATTGTGCTTGGCAATCAAGGGTTAATTCAGCTTCTGCCTTACTTGAATGTTCATTTCTTTCACTGGGGAGGCCAAGTATTTTAGACCCTCCCACACTGGATGCAAAATTATGCTCAGCATGCCTAGACATGTTTGCTTCTTGCACTGTTTTATTTCCTTGAACAGTAGCAGCAGAGACATTTTGTCTGGGAACCATGCTAGTAGAACACGACCACTCCCATCCATTTCAAAAATGCAGACTTATTTGGAAGACCTGCTGAAGGAAAATGATGGTCATTGACTTATTTAATTCTCTGGCTTATAGCTTCATTCACAAACTTCAACTGTCTCTCATTAGCCTTGTAAAGTACATCTACTGGCTTCAGACAAGTATGTTTCAGAAGGATTCCCTGATATGCCAAATTTGCAGGAGAGGGCAGCTGTCTCCCGTTGTGGCAGCACACATTACAGCAATGTAATACATGACTAATCCCTTCTCAGAAAAATAATTCCTCTTTGTCCTGCAAGTGAAAACCAATCAGACTTGCTTCTCTGCTGCCACATGCTTTGTGGAGGCATTTACACCTGTGAAAACCAATGAAAAAAGGTAGTTATTATGTATGTTGGAATGGATTTAGTAATGTCTCCATGCAACTTGCACAGAAGTAAATGATGGTGCAGGACTGGAAAATCAAGGTTTGTTTATTGAAAGCAGTCCTTCCACTCCCAGGGTCAGGCCTGTGGTTTGGAAGATGATACAGACAAGGTCTCAGATGAAAAACAGGTTGTGCTTTTGAAATCTTCACCATAATGTAGTTCTTGTGAGGATTAACATTTTGTAGGAAGTCCTCTGTTTTACACAGTTAATCTGACGCTTGCCAAATCGTAGAAGAAATTACATATGGAAATTAATTTTGTTCCTTGTTGTTCTATTTGCTTTGGAGGTCATTTCTCCTTTCCTCTTTATGCAATACAAGCAAAACCCACTGGAGTAGAGCTTTGATCTATAGGCAATCCCAAACCTCATTAAAACTGACAGGCACGCTGGCCACGCTTTGTTCAGGAAGGAACAATTAAGTTATTTTATGGCATAAGATAGATAAAAATGAGAAACTGCTGCCCATGGCACAGGGGTGCATGGCCAAGTGCTAAGATGAGCTAACTTGTATGAGCAAGCACTAATTTGGGGAAAGTCAGGGAGACTTTTCTAGGGATTGCTTGCGAGTGCAGCAGCAAGAGCACAGATTGGTTGCAGCTGTGTTTGCCTGTGTGCATGTCCGGGACCGGAAACACCACACAAGAGCCAGCAGACAGTGGGAGAAGCAGTGGTGTATGGCCCTGAGAAAAAGCCAAGGGACAGCTTCTTCTGGGCAAGCATCCTGGCTGGAGCAGCAAACTTGGACTGCTGCACAGTTCTCCCTCCCATTTGCTTCCTCTGCGTGCAAGGAAATGGGACGTGGCTGTACATTCTTTGTAAATAAATAGGATTTCGCTAAGGAGCTGACTGAATTGATCATCGATTCCCGCCCCCCTGTCCCTCCGCAGAAAAACTGGCAAAGTGCTGATTATTAGTTAACTCTGTGGGTCAAAGTTCTGTATGCAAAACTAGAGAGCTTTTCAGTACTGCTAAAATGGTCACCAGAGACCCTGAAGATATCAAGACAGTCTGTGAAATTCAGACCTCAAAACAACAGTTGATCATTTCAATCGCTGATGATCCTTCATGGATTTTTAATGCCTGGTATTTCTACAATCCATATTAAAAGTAGCTTTTATGGAACAATAACAAGAAACTGCTTTCTCTGATCCCTTGTTTGGAATGTTTAATATAGTCCAGATGCATCTGTTGAAAAGAAATGTAGTCAGATACAATATAGTTGTGAAACATTTGTACATCAGTAAGGTGTTTGATATGTAGAGCTGTTTTGAATAATTTGTTTATTTGTGTAATCTTACAGTGTGTCTTCTTATCAAGCTGCTCTAAACTCTTGCAGATTTATGTCCATATTTAGGTCCCCACAGCAACTACATTATCCACCTCAGACTGAGAGTATGTTCATCCCAGCACAGCTGAACAAAGCAGAGTCCTTCAAGAAGTCTCTGTCCTGAAGCTGGAGTGTACTCTGTGTGTGCTCTGACACCTCTGTAACAGGATGTGAAGCCTTAGCCTTAGTGGGAAGGCAGGTTTGCAGCCAAGGATAAGACTGTAAAAATGCCCGCAACTCACCTCTTTTCCCCGGAGCTTCACCCCAGGAGACAATTACAATCCAATAGGTCTTTGGTTAAGAGGTGCTTTACTGATGTGGAATACAAATTTGGGAGGAAAAAAAATGCTGCTTTTAACTCCAGCTATATTTATCAATCAGTTCTTCTCCAGCAAAGCACAGCGGGTGCCTGGAGCCTGGAATGAGCAGCTGGTGTGGCCGAGGGCAAGGCTGTGTTACTTTTGGCAGCAGTGCTGGCAATAGCTGGCTGGAAGCATTTGTGAAATTATGGCCTGTGGGGGCACTTCTGGTTTGTGCTGACGTGTGTGCAGGCTGATGCCGAAACAGGCCCTCTCACCGGCTCATCCTGGCACTGGTGATTGTTCGGCTGCAGGATCAGCTGCAGCTGGCTGCCAAAATTGATCCTGCTGGAAACTTTTTTTTTTTTTTTTAACTGGATTAGCTTTCAGCTCTGTTGGCAAGCTGATCTGGCTTAACGTGTGGCTGCATGAGTGTCGGAGCCAGCAGAGAGGAGGCATCAGGAAAGCATGACTAAGGAAAGGGGAAAGGATGGAATGATGACTTTTGCCAGTAGCACAGTCTCATCTTGGCTTAACCCCCCCGAGAATCTGCCTGTCAGGGTAGAGTTACCTGTTACAACTTGAGTCACGTTAATGGCTTGCTTCCACTGAATGAGAAAAATCTTGTTCCTTTTTTCCTTGCTCTTCTGATGTTAGACCTTATGATTGTCTAATCTTGCATTGGACTGATTTAACTTGTTGAATCAGCACAAAACTTACCTCAACAAACAAAAGGGAATAACATTCTGCTGGCTGAGTGGGTGGAATCAGCTTGGTAGAGCATCTGCAGAGGCTGGCAGATCTGCAGAGGCTGGCAGAGCTGGGACAGGCAAAGGGAGTCGTAGCTGTCAGCTCTGAGGTCGCTGACTGAACCACAACACAGAGCTTCAGTCTCAGAAAACTCCTGGCATAGTGCTTCTTAGAAGAGCCGTGATCTAGGTTTTCTCTGTAGTTTAAAGGTGACAGTAGATTATTGCCCTTTGTCTTACAACAAATATGGTGTTTGTCTTGAAAATCTGGAAACTGCCACTATTGTATAATTCCTTCCAAATTTCTACCCCTATATTTTCAACCCTCCCATAACTAAGTGGCGTTTATCCTAACACCTCCTTTCAAGCTGAGCCCCTCCTTTGAGCCTAAATTTCCCTTTGCTTTGTTTATCTATTACTCCACAGATCTACAAATGTTTTTTTCCATCAGCCAGAGCTTTACTCTGAAGCTTCCACAACCGGCCTTTGATGCTGCCTTGGGAAGACACTGTGCTCTTGGATGCAGGAATGCAAACTCGTAAACAAACTGCTACTGAAAGTGCTGCTATTGCAGCAGAGTTAAAAAGTATAGAAAGATGGACTTATAATGTGTGAAAAACGGTTCTGTGTGGCTCTGTCAGTCAGATAAGAAGAGTGCCCAAATTCTATTTGATTGTACTCAGGACAGCCGTGGGACACTTAAATAGAGTGCTGGCTAGGCAGTGTTTCTATGCACCGAGCACAGAAATCCTGCTGTGTGTTTGCCCAGAAGTTTAAGCTTTCCTCTTTGACAGAAGAAATCAAAGGCAAGGAGGGACAAGAACACTTTCAGGTGGACCTAATAAAGAGGCATTATCCCAGGTGGGCAGGCAGCCATTCTTCCATCCATTCAGCTCCTTCTTCATTTATAAGGAGACAGATTTGGACCAGCCCAAAGAATTAATAGAGAATAAAATGTACTCTAAAAATAGATCAGAAAAAAATGTTATAGGAGAAATATATGGAAATATATATATATAATAGTGAGAAATCTAAAATGCCATGTTGTTGTTAATCTTTAACCATAAAATTACAAAGATTAATAGGACCTAGAAATTCTTGAGACCAAAGTGGCTGCTGGGAAAGCGTAGACAAGGAGTACTCAGCAAATGTAAATGCACAAGCATTGGGATATCACTTGAAAATAGTTTAGGTGGCTGAGGGAAACTATCTGGAATTACTTGTTTTTAATAAACAGCAAACAAGACGCTGGATAATTAAGAAGAAACAAGCAGGATGTTGAAATACATGTGAAGGTCTCAGTTGCTTTTGTGCAGCAGCTCTACCTCCTGGGGCTGTTCTCCAGTGGATAATGGAAGAAATGCCTCAGTGTGTAGGCACTCTGAAAGGGATTTTCAAAAATGCTTATCCTTGGTCAAACTGTTCCCACTGAGTTAAGCTGAGCAGGCAGGCCAACTTGGATGGGGCAGCAAGGAGAGAAGGTGAGGAGTGCAGTAAATTGGGGAAGCATAACCTTAGCACGTTATTGAATGGCTTTTAAGATCCAGATTCCTAAATAATCAAGAGAAATATGTCAGATGTGTGAGAGAGCTTCATTTGATAGAAACACAGTCTGATTTATGATGTTCCTTGTGTGGGGCATTCCTGGGGGTGAAGAGTCTCCCCTGTGCTGATGAGTGATGTGACTGCAGTAGGTGCAGAGTAGGGAAGGGATGCAAGAGGCAGAGTATGGGAACATTGGGATCAGCTTTCAATGTAGTATTTCACAGAGTCTAACTTGAAAATAAGTTCAGTTTGACTT